GAGTTTCAGTTCCAGCAGTTGGTGTGAGTCTCGGTATTGAGCGAGTATTTACCATATTGGAAGATCTTAAGAAGCAACAGAACCAGGTACACACTTAGAAGACTCAAGAACAAGTGTGTTTTTTTTATGCTTTGACATGTTTTGAGTTTTGTAACTAAAACTTGGATTGATGGGTACAAACAGGAGATTATTCGATCGACAGGGACACAAGTTCTGGTTAGCGTCATTGCGGATAATAAACTAGCGGAAGCTGCAAAGTTGGCAAGTCCGCTTTGGGCGGCTAATATAAAAACAGAGTTTCTTGTGAGCAAAAGACGGACAAAGCATTTCGATTACGCGAGGAAATGTGGAATTCCTTGGATGGTGATTGTCGATAAAACAGGACTTGTTACATTGAAGAAGATCGTTGAAGGTGGTGAAGAGGAATATAAAGATGTTCCCATAGATAGTTTTGACAACAGATTGTTGCAACTCTTTGAATTAGCTGAATGAATTTTGAACTAAGCCTACTATCGTCTTTCTATCAAATAAAAACAGAGCACAATACTCAATTCCCAAACAGTTATAACTGGGATTTGCCAACGAAAAGAGAAAACTCATTTTGACATAAATTAACATGATCTCTTCATTGGAAAACAAGTTAAGAATTACATCAAATTATCATAATATATAAAAGAAGGGAAAAAGGGACATAAGAGAGGCATAGACTTCTTAGGAAGAAAATTATACAAGAAAAAACCATTTTCATCATCTCAAACCCCAATCCCAAATCCGTTAAATCGTAAAACTTTATTTTTCTCCAATCTTATTTTTTCAAGTATTCGTAGATTACGAGTGATGCCCAAAGCAGGATCTCCATTTTGCTGAGAGCCTTGCTTGTGTTTCCTCTGTCTGCTTGCTTTGCTCGTGGTTCAGGTTAGAAGAAACCGTTTTACCCGTAAATGGCGGTAAGGTGATGCTCCAAAATCGCCATAAGGTGATGAGTCTCGCTTACTTCCACAACTGCAACAAGACATCCTTGGAGCTGTCTCACAGCTTCCACGAGCTGACCTCTTAGCCTCTGAGATAGTAACCGCCCGCCCGCATTCACGCACTCTCTGTACAGCGGCATGTAGGCAATCGCTACTCTTAGAGGCGCAGGAAGGTCTCTTAACGATATCGCAGACTCGCCTTTCTTCAAAACCCTCATAAAATTCATGAAATTCTCATGACTTTCTCTCATTCCTTTCTCAAAAGCTGATTCTGACCAATGTTCTTGGAGAAACAATTTTAGATCCGAAGGTACGGATTCGTCGTCTGATGACCTCGCGATGCTGTCTGCTACTGAGTATGTGGCCACGGAATCTCCTAAGAAGTCTGCTTTGAGGAGAAACTCTACTCCTTGGAGAGACCCTCCGCTTCTTTCTCCAGCTGCTTTGAGGATTTCGATGCTGAGAGCGGTTAGTACAGGTGGCGGAACACGAGGGAGGAGATAAGCAGCGACCTCGACTTGGCTACTTGAAGTGGCGGCTGTTAGAGCAAGACAAAGCTCCATGTCACGGCAACCTCTTTTCACAAACCATTGAACAACTTGCATACAACCTCTCTCTGCTGCTCTCATCAAAGGGCCCAAAAAGGCAATGGCATGGCCTTCTTCCACTAGGCACTTCATTGTCCCAATTTTACAATAATGTGAAGCAAAACCCAAAGCTAAGTCCACATCCACATCTAAGCTGTTCCTTTGAGCAATCTGAATCAGTATATACAAAATATTTAGCATTTAAAGAGATCTTCAAGTCTAGAAGAAAGGATCATGGATAAAAATATTACCTGCAACAAGACGCGAACAAGTTCTGTACTACCGAAACGTGAAGCTTCAAGGAAACATTGATTTACGTTATCTGCACCACCTTCAACCAGCATACCGAGCAGTCCCTGTATGACAGTAACTGATATTCCAGAGGCCCAACCAGAGTCAAACGAGTTAGAAAACAGAGTGAGCGGGAAACAAGCAGCATCAAAGGCCTCCGTGAAATCTCTTCCGGAGAGATGGTTTCCTGCTAGATCTAAGAACATCTTGAAAGCCGAAAGCTGTAGTTCAATTTCAGCAGCTGAATTGTGGCTAACTCTATCTCTTGCACCCTGGCATCTGGAGTGGAAACCTATACATTTGAGAGCCCATTCAGTGAACTTCTGAACTTTTGCTCCAGCCTCTGCTTTCAGAATCTCATCCCCGTTGCACTCTTGGAGACGCTCATGCAACCTAAATATGGACCCGATTAAAATCATAACAACACAATACAAATATCCAAGCAGACAGGTATTGGAAACACATTATTGATGTCATTCATCAACATTATCCAAGCAGACAGGGATTGATTTAACGGGAAGCAAAACTGTAGACAAGTCCGCAACTAATCTATGTGGAAAAACTCATAGACAAGTGCAAAAAGAAAAATGCACATCTCAAGCTATTCTAATATTAACGGAAAAGAGAGAATGTTCCTGAATGGGAAACAGCTTATTTAAAGTATAACTGCGCAAAAAGTTAATGCCTACAAAAAGTTAGCAGTGTTTTTTGATGAACTTAAAATGAGTTGTATATTTAACCAATCACTACAACAAGCAGGTAACAAATCTGAAATATTATACTTATGAGACATTAGAGAATCGCATATGTACCTTTGAGCCATAACAGTTACTGTATCAGCAAGACTCATTGTCCGGCTCTGGCAAGCAGAGACACATGAAGCAAGAAATGAAGTCCTAAGAGCAGCTCTAGTAAAGTCATGAGCACCATGACCTATGATCTTCTTAATCAATCCAGTAATCCCCTGAAACTCGTGCTTTGTACTCAAAAACCAAACGGAGTCTAAACCAACGCACAACAAATCATTCAAAGTATGCTGATCAGCCATCAGAATAAATCTCTCAGCAAGTTCCCAATCCAGTGATGTAACAGCACCTTGAAAAAGTCGTCCCAACTCGATTCTATCGTGCCTATTAAGCTTTTTCTGCTGCACGACATTTTCCTTCTCAGCGACGAGATCCTCATTGCCTTTGAAATTTAGTTTCTTTACACTACAACCACAACATTCCCCCGAATTAGTACCAGCTGGATCCTTGCCTATAAGAGGCGCCTCTCTTGAAAAGACCACATTACTCCCCTCACCTCCTTCATTCTTCTGAGATGAAGCAATGGTTTCGGTTTCCATCTCGGAACAAAAAGACGGCTCATCAGGATATATCTGATCACCTAACTTGATGTTATCACACTCTCCTTCTTTCTCCATTCTTCTCAAGTCGTAACTTTGCAAATCAAACTCCAAAGAGAAGTACACAAAAGCTTATTCTTTCGAAAACTCCAAAATCCATTCCTTAAATTCTCATCTCTTCTAAATGAGGGCAAAAATCTTCAGATTTATATGCTGTTTCCAGATTTATTCAAAGTGTTGGGTAGATCAAGCTAACCAAAAACCCAGTAAATTGCAGACAAAAAAAAAATCAATCAAGAGAAATCACTAAGGCGTGAATCACAAGAGCGAAAAGGGTCTCAACATTTTCCGATATCAGAAGCATCGAAATCAACAAAACCCAGCACTGATCCCTATCAGAATCCTCGATGACTTCTCCCTAAGAGCACTAGGTCTTGACCATAGCATCAGAAATCAAACAAAAAAGCCCTAGAAAGCAAAACAATTTATCATCAGCAATAATATTACCAATTCGATTCTCACACAAAAAAAAAAAAACAGAGAAGAACAGTAAACAAACACCAAAATCGAAAACCCGATCAGATAAAACCGAATCGAGATTCAGAAAAAAAGCGAGAAGAAGAAGAACGTAATTGGCCTATGCATATTGATGCACATGAGCCATGAAA